GAGAGCACTTACAGGGGAAGGGTTAAAATATACCAGATGTATTGAAAAATTCTCTGCACTTCAGGTCCCTGCCCCCCAGTAGCCCCTTCTTTTCCTGAATTTTGTCACAACAGGTCTAGATGATGTGGATAAATCTCTCTGTCAGGCAGCCGGTCTACACTAGTGTTCCAATAGTTGCTGCAGTGGTGGGGAATTTTAAGAAAAGGTTGGTCTCTCCACACAAACGTTGTACCATTTTAATTTTATCAGTATAATTAAATTAGTACAGCCTGCCTAGCAGGGGGTGCAGTATACTGTATTCCTGAGGGAATTCTATGCCAAAAAATAAAAATTCTGTGCACAATATTTTATTTATTGTGGAGAATTTGCAGAATTTTTAATGTGGAGACTCCTGCATGGCCGTGAGGACTGAGGAGGAGCACAGGCTGCTGGCTGCACAGAGGTGGGAGATCACCCTGCAGCCCCCCCTGCTCCCCAGGAACTCAGCAGTGAGGCTGCACCCAACCCTGACACAGCACAAGGGCCAGGCTTGCCCCAGAAACTCCCCAGGGTCTTGCCCCTCTGTGCCAGGTGCACCAGTTGTGAGCAGGCAGCCTCAGCCCAGCATGATCCATGTGTAGAGAGGCTTGGTGTGGGGTGAGAAAGTACTGTGTGGACCAAACTGGGTGCGGGTGACTCAGTGCGGGGTCTGGGTGCATGGGGGATCTGGATGTACGGGCTTGTTGGGGAGGTTCTAGGTGCAGGGGCAATGGGACTCTGCAGGGGGGTCCAGGTAAAGGTGGTTGGGGCTCAGCAAGCGGGGGAGTCTGGATGCAGGGAAGTAAAGAAATCTGCGGGGAGAACATAAGAATGGCCCTACTGGGTCAGACCAAAGGTCCATCTAGCCCAGTATCCTGTCCTCCGACAGGGGCCAGTGCCAGGTGCCCCAGAGGGAATGAACAGAACAGGCAATCATCAAGTGATCCATCCCCCTGTCACTCATTCTCAGCTTCTGGCAAACAGAGGCTAGGGACACCATTCCTACCCACCCTGACTAATAGCCATTGATGGACCTATCCTTCATGAATTTTTCTAGTTCTTTTTTGAACCCTGTTATGGTCTTGGGCTTCACAACATCCTCTGGCAAGGAGTTCCACAGGTTGACTGTGTGTTGTGTGAAGAAATACTTCCTTTTATTTGTTTTAAACCTGCTGCCTATTAATTTCATTTGGTGACCCCTAGTTCTTGTGTTATGAGAAGTAGTAAACAGCACTTCCTTATCTACTTTCTCTACACAAGTCATGATTGTATAGATCTCAATCATATCTCCTTAGCTGTCTCTTTTCCAAGCTAAATAGTCCCAGTCTTATTAATCTTTCCTTTAGCACCTCAGTCATCCAGTGGCCCCACTGGTTGTTTAGCAGGTTTCCTGCTTCTGAGGTCCTTAAAAAAGAAAACTTGCTATTACTTTTTGAGTCTTTGGCTAACTGTTCCTCAAATTCTTTTTTGGCCTTCCTAATTGCATTTTTACACTTCACTTGCCAGTGTTTATGCTCCTTTCTATTTTCCTCACTAGGATTTAACGTCCACTTTTTAAAGGATGACCTTTTGCCTCTTACTGCTTCTTTTACTTTGTTGTTTAGCCACGGTGGCTCTTTTTTGGTTCTCTTACTATGTTTTTTAATTTGGGGTATACATTTAAGTTGAGTCTCTATTATGGTGTCTTTAAAAAGTTTCCACGCAGCTTGCAGAGATTTCACTTTTGGCACTATACCCTTTAATTTCTGTTTAACTAACCTCCTTATTTTTGTGTAGTCCCCCTTTCTGAAATTAAATGCTACTGTGTTGGGCTGCTGTGGTGTTTTTCCTGCCACAGGGATATTAAATTTAATTATGGTCACTATTACCAAGCGATCCAGCTGTATTCACCTCTTGGACCAGATCCTGTCCTCCACTTAGGATTAAATCAAGAATTGCCTCTCCTCTGGTGGGTTCCAGGACCAGCTGCTCCAAGAAGCAGTCGTTTAAGGTGTCAAGAAACTTTATCTCTGCATCCCGTCCTGAGGTGACATGTACCCAGTCAATATGGGGCTAATTGAAATCCCTCATTATTATTATTGAGTTTTTTTATTTTACTAGCTTCTCGAATCTCCCTGAGTATTTCACAGTCACTCTCACCATCCTGGTCAGACATGAATCGTGACGCAGAATTCCCCCAGGAGTATTAATTAAATGTACTTATAGTAGTATAGCTTACTGCCATATCGGATGGGGAATAAGCATAAAGATACTGGACCAAATTATTAAACAATTAATTTGTTTAAACCTAGGGGATAAAAAGGTGCTATGTTATAGCAAGCATGGATTTGTCAAGAACAAACCAATTTAACTTCTTTCTTTGGGATAACTGACCTAGTGACTAGGGGGAAGCAGTAGATGTGATATAGCTGGATTTTAGTAAGGCTTTTAGCACAGACCAACATGACATTTTTCTAAGCAAACTAGGGAAAATGTGGTCTAAACTAAATAAACCATAATTAAAGAGTATTTATCAGTGATTTGCTGTTAAATTAAGGACATACGAAGTGGGATCTTGCATGGGTCTATCCTGGATCCAGTACTAGTCAATATTTTCATTAATGACTTGGATAATAGAGTGGAAAGTATGCTTATAAAATGTGTGGATGACACCAAGCTGGGAGAAGATTGCAAGCACTTTGAAGAACAGGATTAGAATTCAAAATGATCTTGGTAAATTGGAGAATTGGTCTGAAATCAATAAAATGAAATTTAATAAAGACAAGTGCAAAGTACTACACTTACGAATGAAAACTCTAATGCATACAAAATTGGGAATAATTGGCTAGGCAGCACTGCTGCAGGAAAGAAGGTTATAGTGGATCACACTGAATGTGAGTCAATGCTGTTGTGAAAAAGGCAGATGTAATCCTGGATCTGTTAACAGGAATGTTGTATATGAGACACAGAAGTAATTGTTGTATTCCACTCTGCACTAGTGACGCCTTAGCTGGAGTGCTGTGTTCAGCTTTAGGTATCACACTTTTAATAAACATGTGAACAAACTGGTGAGAGTCCAGAAGAGGGCAACAAAAATAAAAGTTTCCTCCTAGGAAAAGTTGAAAAAACTGGGTAGATTTAGTCTAGCAAAGAGAAGGCTGTGGGGGAATGTAAGAAAGTCTCCAAATATGTAAGAGTTTGTTAAAAACACAATGGTGATCAATTGTTCTCCATGTCCCCTGAGGGTAGGACAAGAAGTAATTGGCTTAGTTTGCAGCAAAGGAGATTTAAGTAGGGATGTTAGGAAAAACTTTCTAACTCTAAGGATAGTTAAGCACTGGAGCAAGTTACCTAGGGAGATTGTGGGATCCCTGTCCTTGAAGGCTTTTAGGAAAAGATTAGACAAACCCTTGTCAAGAATAGTGTAGGTCAGGGGTAGTCAATTATTTTTTGGCAAGGTCCAGATTTCTTGGTCAAGGTAAAGTCAAGGTCCAGTCTCCTGAGAAACATTTTTCACACTACAGTAACAATTACATTAAGTAAATAAAAAGATTCATGGTCCATTCAAAAGTGTCTGGTGGTCCGGATTTGGCCCACAGGCCGCCTATTGACTACCCCTGGTCTAGGTATACTTAATCCTGCCTCACCCCTAATAACCTGCAGGCTCCCACTGCCTCCAACAGCCCTCTCCAGCTTCCCCAGGCTCCTCTCACCCCCGCTGACCCTCCAGTCTCCCCCCGAACAATCTATCTTCCACAGCACCCCAACCCCATCAGCACCTGACTGCTTCCTCCTCCCTGCCTGGTCCCCCTGGCTCCTGTCATGTACCCAGTTCCCCACATTCCCTCCCACAGCCTCTTTCTGCTGAGATATGCAGTAAAAGGGCCCCTTCACCTGCAATCATGGTCTGGGGGTAAAGTTACCACCTGGCCAATATTTGACCGGCCTGGCCAGGTTTTTTTTTTATGGATTTGCAAGAAAAATAATGTAAGCTGCCAGTTTTATTTTGTTTTTGTTTTTTACGTGTGTCTAATAATTTGCATTATCATCACAATTCACTGGGATATCTAACGTTAAAAGTTTCTGTGTTCAGCTAAAGGTGCTGCAGTGTTCCAACAGCCACAGTTTAAGAAAGAAAATGATGTTACCAATCTTATCTATATGTGTTATCTCCCTAGATACTGTCTCTAGATCTCTCTAGTGGTTGAAGTGGA